CGCGCGCTAGACGTAGACGTTAGACGTATATGAGAGACGGCGGTGCAACCCGCCGCCGTTGCAGCAACATCAGAGAGCATTTAATCCGGAATACCGAATGCGAGAGCATACCGGCAGCCCCGAGCGATAGATTTGGGCAATGCGCGAGAACCGGGGTTGCAACCCTCGTCGGTCCGAAGTGCACCCTATCCCTCGGCGGGCCATTAATAATATACCCATATTGGACACAATTCACCTTGAAATTAACCGGCAGCCGATTGGTAAGCCTGGCCAAATTGACTTCGAAATTGACAATTTACGATCGCTCGGCCACGCGTTACTCGCCTGCCCGCTCATTCGTTCGTTCTCTCGTTCCGTTCCACTCGTCCGGGCTCTTTTCTGGCAGGCGCCGTGGCAGCCCGTGACCGACGTTGAATCCATCAAAATGCCATCGCATTCGTGATCGTTGGCTCGTTACGCCAAGAGATGCGCTTATTAAATCATTGCGCTATTAATCGTCAATGCGATAAACGTGTGCCTATCAAATTATTATATACTACGATTTTTGTCACGTACTTGACGTCGTAGCGATCGAGATTCCCGAGACGCATTTGCTGAACTCTTTCTTTCGCGTCTGGGGGAGGCCTTGCTATCTTGATTTCGTTGGTAATGACACAGACTTGCCGTTAAGGCCGAATCAGACTGGCAACTGTCGACGCGGATTGGGTTGGGATTGGCGATCGGCGATTGTCTTCTAGCCAATGAGCGCAAAGCAGCCAGCGATTTAATCGACTCTCATTGGCTGGAGGACAACCGCCAATCCCAATCCAATCCGAGTCGGCAATCGCTAGTCTGACTCGGCCTTTACGTCGACAAGACCCATCGAGGCGTCGTAAGGAATTGCGCGACGTATACCGATTTAATGTGGCGTACACGTAGGTAGGGTCAGGCACGCACGCGATGTCGCTCGCATGACACCCCACGCACCTAGTCCCGCGTCTTCACCTCGCCTTCTACCCGGCACGCTCTTGTCACCGTCATTTCCATCCATCCGCCCGAACGCGCAACACGAGTGGCAAATATTTACGATACAATGTAATCACCGTTCTGCCAATAACGAGCGAGCTTAGCGACGGAAATATACCGGGGGGGGGGGGGGAAGAAATAAAAACGAAATAGCGGAACCGCGATAGCATCAATGGTAACGCGAATCAAGAAAACCAATTAACGTCGCGTCCAACGGCATCCAATTTGTCGTGTACCGAATGAATTTGCGAGCGAAGAACGCAGGCTGTTTTCTAATAGAGTATGCCTTACTTCCTATACCGCCTGGCGAATACGCGATATAAATTAATAGCCGTAATTGCGCTCGGTATGGGAGAAACGATATTCATATCCGTTCCATTTGTTTCCGAATGAAGGAAGTTTTGGGCGACACACAATGGAGGGACCTCTCTCGCGCATCGATTTTAATGGGGAATTATGGTTGGTTTATCGTCGGAGTTTATCGTAATGGGCGCCGGAGCTGTCAGGTGCGGTAGGAATCGCGAGAAAACGCTCACGTTAAATTACATCGAGGTCGATTGCGCGCGGAGCGGAGAGCGGTGGCGCGCTTTCCACGGAAGCGGCTGCCGCATAATTAAGACAATTAAGGTACCCGCGCTATAAATCACACCGCGCTCATCTACTTAAGGCTGATATCAGATCGGCGATCTAAGCGAGTACCACTTCCACGTACAGTTAAATACATGCTCGATCTATCCTCGTTCCACCTAACGCTCCACTCGTTCATTTTTTTCCGCTCGATTTCGCGGATTCCGCTCGTCCGTCCGTCCGTCCGTTCGTTCGTTCGAATTCGCCGCTCAGGGTTAGCGTCGTATTTAAGACGCGGGCGATTCCACCTGCGTCCTCCACCTCGACACCTTTCCGGCGAATTCGAATCGTGAATTCGATTCGATCGATACGATTCGATCGGCTCGCTGCGTTTTGTTGCGCCGTGTTTTTTGCCCGCTTTGCAACACGCGGCGCGACTACGCCGGATACGCACGGACGAGCGAACGGTAGGGCGAACCAAAGACTTTTCGAAGTCGATAGATCGTTAAACGCCCCATCGCTTACGAAAGCCATGTAATTCCCCGCGAGTCGCACCGCGCGATGAGCCCCTTTCTCTCTTTCTCCCGTTTTTTCCCCCCCTCGCCACCCTCCCCCCTCCATCGACTTCTCTCGCGTTTCGCGTTTCTTTCTCTCTCCTGACGCATTTCTCCGATCCTTTCTTCCCTTTCCCGCCGATCCGCCTGTCCTTTTCTCGCGCTGAGCGATCTGGTTCTCCACCGGAGGTGCAACGATCATTAGGGCGGGGAACGATCAGGATCGGGGCATAGCACCTGGCCCGATCATCGGCAACTCTTAATGCCCACACGCAATTCCGAATGAGAACCCGGCCAAATACAATACAGAAGTGTGCGCGGCCGAATCTAATCGATCGATCGCACCGCACCGCGAGTAACGTACAAAACGATCTTTCGAACGATAATTTCCAGCCGTCTAACCGTTTCGGCCGCTCGAAAACTATATTCGACGCGACTCGCTTGTGAATTAAGTGCGGCGGATGGTCCGTCTCATTCCGGGCCGCGTGCATATAAATCACGCGACAAGAGTCGGACGGGCGGACGGACGACTCGGGGAACCGCGAGGTCTTCGATCTTCGATCGCTCGTTTCGATTACGCCGCTCTAATTGCGGCCTACTCGTGTGTACATAATTTGCGCGAGATACACCGGCACTCGTAAATACTTCCACGATCGGTTTCGCGGAGACATTTCTGGGGGCACGACGTCCCGGGACGGGAAGCGACCCATATAATTATCTGGAACCTTCTGGCAACGGCATTGAATTTAAACCACTTTGTTAATAATCACTTACGATACGAGAATATCAAGGGCAGGCCGTTCGAGCGCACTGCTCGCGCGTTTCTCAAAGAGGGACCTTTCAAAAATTCTTCCCTTTTACATTATTTGTGTGTCAATTTCTTTAACGTTCCGTGTGATTATGTCGCAATAAAAGTTAATTTTCCTTGTCGTTACACGAGTTACAATCAATGTGGCGCAAGTTGCTCATTTATTTCCATTTGTTCTGAGAAACGGATCGGTCCCCTCGGTATAAAATCGGACGAACGGCAGCGCGGCGGGTCCTTTCGTTGTCGCAACGCGTGATTATTGGCGCGCTCTTGATCTCTTGTTCAACGGTGTGGGGCCCGATTCTTCAATTCATTCGCATGATAAACGTACGCGAAAATTCTGCTCTTATGCAAAACGGTTACGACAATTTTTCTGCTGTCGCATTGCAAAAGGCGACGTACGTCTACGACAATTCTGTGTGCGTTGACTTCCGACACCGACTTAAGTCTTACGGCAAAATCGTACACGGTTACGACAATCTTTCTGCTCAAGCCCTAATGCGGGAGGCAACGAATAGATATTACGAAAGGTGTGTGTTCATATCTTCCAACCTTTATCAACAGGTACTTCGAAGGGTAATTTTTTTTCACGAGTACATCGCAGTCGTCGGATAAATATATCGTTTCAAGCCGCTTGCATTAAATTTCCGACCGCCAAGAAAAAGGTTTCAATCCGCGCTGCTCGCGCCGGCCGGCGCCTCGTCTTATTTCGCTGATCGCGCGGCACGCAAACAAATGCGCATTATGCGGGGTCTAAGCGCTCAGAAAGTGCGCTCGTGTTTTCGGTGTAACCTGAAGCTAAGCGGTTTAAGAGATCAACGCCGTATAAACCGGCCGTCTGAGAATCGTCTGGGGATCCCGCGTGCGTGAGAGGCGGCAGTGAAAAAGGGATAGGGCGAGAGACAAGTAGCAAGGCGAAAAAGAACGTCGTAGGGAGCGCGAGGGAGAGGGCGGAAGAAGGAGGAGGAGGACGGCCGAAAACGAGGCGAAGAGAGTGAGATACCGAGGAGAAGATGAGCAAGATTCTGGGCAACGAAGAGGCAAAGTGAGAGGGCAAGGCAGCGAGACGGGATGAAAAATTAGATTTACAAATCTGTCTTGACTACTATGAGATTGCTCGCTTACCGGTTAGTGGTGCTCAGCCTCCGTCTCGTTATTCCCTAACGATCCTATTCCGCGAACGGCGTACGGTCGTGCCAAGGATGCGCAGTGATTAAGAAAACGATCCCGAGTCTCTCGAAACGCGTCTCGATTACTTTCGGCGTGCCGTTCGATCGAAGGCGAAGTTTGATTCGATCAGATCACAATTTGACCGCGTCGCTTGTACGGAGACGTATCTCGCGATCGGGAAGGTTGAGAACATCCAGCGGACAGTTAGGTGCTGTGTCGAGAGTAAAGAAAGGTAACAAGTCCCGGATATTCCCTCGTTGAAGCAAAAGGCAGTTCTGTGTGTACGTGACATGGCTGCGCGCGTGTACTTCGCGCGTAATGTCGCGGTGTGTTGGTGTGGACGCATACGTCTCGCGCGTGCGTGTGCGCGTATGCGTGAGCGCCTCTCTGGCGCCTATCGCCTATGAAAAATGAACCTCCCTCCCTGGACGCATCAGTATCATCGCCACTATCGTACAGATTGTTTCAACGGAAATCTTCCTCGTCTGCTTCGCCGCCGACAAAGCTCTAAAGGTGCCAGTGTTGCTCATCAAACGAAAACGCCGGCCACTCGAAACGGGACTCGATTCTGAAGCTACTCGGGAGAGTAGCTGCGGATCTTCAATATTTAAGATCTATTTAGAAAATTTACTTTTTAAATATATCTTAAGAATACGATAAAAAAGTCTTTTATAATTTAACTTTTTGTCGCATAATTAGTTGCATAGGCAAGTGTCTCATCATGTAAGTCTTAAAAGTAGAGGATCTCGTGTAATTTAACTCGCCCATTCATGTCTACATATTCAATCATTCGTAAACGATTTTATCTTATATAAGGATAATATAACGCGTAAAATCTAATCCCGCAAATCTGTTTGTCAGTCGATGACGTGTTTAGAGTGAAAGCCATGTGTTATTTTCACGGGTGATTTTCATTTTCCCTTAGTCACGTAAGCGTCCGCTCTCGAAACGTTCGCACGATCTACGTAGATTAGCCATCAAGGTTTTCAAATTGGTTCCTCGGCTAGTGAGCCGGGTGTTCCTTTAATGGTTCGCGCGGCGGCGCGGCTTAATTCTTCTGGGACGCCTCTCGAGCAATCTTGAAATCAGGACTCGAGATCCACTCGAGGTATTTGCAAATAAGACTTATTCACAGAGGAAAGATCAGCAGGCGGTCGTTAAAGCGGTCGTTTCTACATACGTGTCGTGCCGCGCGGCAGTTTCCAGTTTGCAGCTCGATTCATAATCATTGATAATTTGCAGTTGCGGCATTCTCATTTCTCGCGATACCTAATCGGCCGGGACGATCTCGATCGCGCTAATGAATCGAGAGACTTACTTCCTTGCTTCGCGCGCGAGGGCTGATATTTCCTCCTTAATCCTTTCAACAGATAATCGGTCGCGATGAATATCGCGACCACGACGATCGGGGTAAGACATTACCTCGATGACAGGTGTCTCTAACCGCAGTAACTCTCTCTCACTGTACAGCTCCAGGCCAGGAAGACCCCCAAAGCGAGCTTCCGTCGGGCTGAGCCTCGCAGCGAGCCACCTAGCCGCGGCGGCTGGCCATCATCCTCACTCCCTGAAGAAGCACAGACTGGACAACGGCGATTATTACGAGAACGGACACCTCGGTGAGTACCAGCTGTTATTTCGTCTAAAGATATTTATGTACACGGAGAGAATTTTCTCTTAAAATTTGTCCTGAAAATCATGTAATCGCGGGGCAACGTGGCACTTTCAAGAATTTTATGAGAGTTTTTGGAAATTTTACCATACATTTTACTAGTAATTATACTACTTAGTACACATTTTGCTAGTAAAATGTATGGTAAAATTTTCAAAAACTCTCATAAAGTTTTTCAAAGTACCACGTTATCCTGGCGACTGCATGATTTTCAGGGTAAATTTTAAGAGAAAATTCTCTCCGTGTACAGTCGCTTTAAAGTAATATTGGAAGCATTTGTATATCTTATCGAAAATATTTATAATTAGATGGTTCGTGTCATTTTTACTGCATCGCGATCGTTATTGTTAATGTACTTGCCGCGAGGAACTACCGTGTCCCTTGATTTTTCGCTGCACTTTTTCAAACGGTAAAGACATGTGGGGTCAAAGTGTGGAAACAGTGGGCTACTTAAATTTCTGTAGACCATCGTCTATTATTACACTTTTTTGCATACATAAAATTCTTACAAGTTCAAACAACTGAATTAGGATCCTTTTTTACACAATTGGAATTGAACCACTGTGTACGCTCCAATTTTTTTAAAAAGCTACGAATAATCTTCACAGTCGCCAGTAATAATTAACAAGCAGCAAACCTCGACACGGAACCTTTATATCATTTTTGCGTCTATAAATACAATCCATTTTACATCACCAAAATACACGCGAATCCATGTACATGACTTTCTCAGTCTGATCGCTTGAAAAGGACCAAAACCCATGGTCGAAACGTAGCGAGTCCTAAACATAAAAATTGCCAGATACTGGCAGCCAAACTTCATGTTGTTTTTAAAAAAAAGTTCCGATTCTGTCGTTTACGGCAAAACTGTGCCGCGGTACGCTACAGGCTTAATAAGATGTCCCGCATTACGTTCGCTAAAAAGAATTGTCAAATATTTTTACACTGACCGTGAGAAATAGAGCTAGCGGCACCGTTTCCACCTTGACTCTAAATCTGAACGCTCTGATTTTTGGCGGAAGTATCTAGATGCATAAACGCAGACGGTCGAGCGTGGGGTTATGCCAAATAGAGCACGTACGTGCAAATAGACGTACGTAGCGAGGGCCACGCGCTTGATTACTGCCATCCGTATATACGCTCTGGCATACGGTGACCCTACCGATCAATTAATTAGGGGAATCAAACACACTTGGAGTGAGCAAATTAACTGCGACTGCACCGTTGTGTTGCGGCCTGCGGTGGCGGTCACCGATGCCCGGGATATCGTACGATCCCTTTACGTACGCAAATGATACTCGCGCTGTCTTCACATTCCCCACGCCGGATTCCAATCCAGGAAGTTCCTCCGCCATTCTCTGATTTACCTCGTCGCCGCCGCCGACGCCGCCGCCGCCGCCGCTCCGCGCATCGCATCGTCGTATCTAATCGTTCACTAATGATTGGACGCATTCCATAAATTACTAATACTTAGTATTATTAATAACATAACGCAATTAATAATATTATAATCTCGCGCAATTCCGTTCATCCTTGCGCGATATTCATCGCTCGCCGTGAACATCCGGAAGATCGATAAACGCGCATACAATATTCATTGGTTTATTTGCGCGGACTCTCTTTGTGCTCTTCGATAGCGCTTTGAAGGGTGTCCGTTGGGACGCGCTTATTTCGCAGATATATTATCATCGGGGGACATACAGAGAGAGAGAGAGAGAGAGAGAGAGAGAGAAAGAGAGAGAGAGAGAGAGACCGGGAAAGAGAGAGAGAGAAAAATGGGGACGTTATTGCCGTCAATGTCGAGAGAAGGAAATCGTTAAATCACGTCATACGGCGGCGGCGTCGATCGACGTTCGGAAATTGTTTAAGCAAATAATCGCGAACACGCCGGCCGATCAATTTTACGGGCAAATACGTTTCACGGTGCAACGTTAATGAATTAATGCCGCGGCGCGTTCGCGCGGGTCCACGCCTGCAGCCAGCCGCGCTCGTTCTCTCGCGCGCTCGTCGGGGTAAACGTTGAAACGGCCGGCAATTAATTACGGCCGCGCGGTAATTGTATAATTGTTTTACGATTGGAGCCGGCACCCCCCCCCCCCCGCTCCCGCACTCGCCTCTCGTCGCGGCCGTATCCCGGTTGCACCCGATCCGCCCGCCTAAAACATATACGATCGGTATATTATATAACCGTCCGAGGAACAAATTAAAGAGGCTGGAAACGCGCGTAGGAAACGAGACACGGGGGGAGAAAGGGAGTTGGAATTTTTTTTTCAATTTCGCCCGGCGTACGCGGGGCGCTTCCCATAACGCAATTAATAAACTCAACGAGCGAGATCCGATCGCGATAGCGGGCGCGAAACATGCGTTTCGGGTGCGCGGCGCACAATGGATTCGGCACCGGCGCCCGTGTGAGTGCGTACGCGTGCGAGAGCCGTCGCTTGATACGCATCTATGTTGTCTCTACGAAATTAAAAGCGACGAGAGAAATAAATAGCTGCTGGGTGGGGGGCGAGGGAGGCTTTCCGAGAGCGATCTGGCTGCGCGCGTGCGCGTCGCGGGACGGTTTGAGCCGCGAGTTTCGCCGATCGTCCCGATTTTTGACCCGATCCGGATTGTAAGATGGCGCGGGCTCGCAATTTCCAGAGATCTCCGCGATCGTCGAACGCATCGATCGCGGGGGTTATCATTAATCAAATTGACCCGGCGTAATTTATATTACGCGACCTAATGCATATCGAATTGTTTATTAGCGCGCGAACTAAGTCAATTATCCGGTCGGTTTGGGCGTTTGGGCGAGTGTGACGGGCATTAGCTCAAATATGAGCGAATTTACTGTTAATAAATTTTCGACTTTTCCTCAAGCACCCGAAAATTGCGCGTCGCCAGTGCCCCGGCGCAGTCCGAGCAATGAACTCGATTCATCAGCGACGCTCGTGCGTTATAACTAATACATTACGTCGACGGGCGTAATCGTTCGGTCGTTTAACGGATAGAGGCGTCTCGGTGGTGGTAACGCAAATTTCGGGTAGCTGCTCGAAGAGCATGCGACATACATGCACGCGCGGAAAAGAGAGAGGGGGAGAGGGAGAGAGAGTGAGAGAGGGAGGAGTGGGAAGCGTGTCGCCCTCGTTGGGTGGCTGGATGGGTGGTTGGTTGGTCGGTCGGGTGGATGGGTGGGTTCGGCTGAGCGGACCGCGGCTTGAAACGATGGTGTACTGCCAAGCGAATGCTCATAAAAGCATTGATTAACTGTTGGCGGTCGTAGGTCAGCCGGCACACGGCTGGCCCGTGTACCAATAAAACCCGGCTAATAGTGGCTCGACATCGCTTCAATATCATGCGTCGACCATCCCGAGCGTTCTCGTTGTCACGCCCGCGACAATTTTCACGCTCGGAAACGGCGCGCGTAAAAATCGCGCCCGTCCGCCGCCGTTAAGATTCGCCCCGCGCCTCATCTCGGAGACGCGCGGGTTTCCGAAACGGTCAATTAAGGCAGATGGCATTTCGGATCGCGCCGACGAAATGAAAACGCGCGGGCGTTGGTGGCTCGACGGTACTCAAGGACACGCGCACGTCTGCTTCTTCCGCTTCTAGCTGTAACCCGACGTGCCCGTAGAATTGCTTTACGCATTTCCGGGAGTCGCGCATATACAAGATTTTAATTGCTGCCGGCGCGCATGAGTACTTAATGAGCAGTTATGTTTTGTTGATGGTTTGATAGGGAGAATAGATTATTATGAACGGATATCTCTCTTTTGACGACGGCGTTACTTGTGTATTCATAATTAGATGTTATCAATGCTTGGTGGAAGACTTAATAACTGGCGTTATTGCTAATTTGCTTAGTAATTACGAGTTAATATTTAAAATAGTCGTTATGTAATTAAAATCGGTTGGTTTTTTTCATATGGAATTGCAGTTCCGTATTCATTTTCAAATGAAAATTCATCTTCACTGTAGCATTTACGAACGAGATTGTTTTATATATAAGAAAAAATTAAAATCACTGCATATGCGAGGATGAAGATGTTAACCTTTCAAATGGACTGCTGTTTCCCCGTCAGTGTAAACTAAACTCACAAGTCTTTCGGTGGTTTATTAAATAAGCGACAGCGTCCTTAAGATATTCTGACAAAAAAAAATTCACGTAAATTGAAGTGTCAAATATTCAAACAGTGAAATTGGCGAAAGATTTATTTTAAATATTTGATTTTCATACTTTCTTGAGGATCGCATGTTAGCATAGCACAACTAAAAAATTTATAGTTTTCGAGATTTGATTTATAAAAAGTGGGCAGTTCTTTAGTACAAAACGGGATGGAAAGAGTCCATTTTGGTAGTTAAGTATCGGCAATAATATATTATACAAAAATTTATGCAGATTATAAAGGCACTAAATATAGCGAGTAACATAATACAGATTTACCGCCGTTGACGGAAGTATCAAGTGTATGTTCCGCGTGCTTGTGTAAGTTTGTATCCAGTCCTCCTGACCGCGGACCATCGCAGCTCACGAAGTTGCGGTCGATGATTCCGACCAGGCCCAGGTAGCCGCGCAAGATAATTAATGAATTGGGGAAACGGTGACCGTGAGATGCGGATGTGTGTATCGCGGTGATAATTTTTGTCGGTTATTCGTATCGAAGGAATGTATATCGGAATACAAGAATCGTTGGAGCTCCCGGAATTTTCCTGCGGCCCGGAATTACGCTCGTTGAAAGAGGGTCGAGACAATCATTATGGCGAGAACGTGAACCGTATCATCCACGTGGACTGTCGCTACGTATAGCACTCGAGTATAATAAAACCGGTCGAACTTATTGAAACACCGAGGGGTAAACCGCTGAAGGGCATTGTGTACAAATTTCGGGCATTACTAGGCGTTACTAGGCATTACTAGGCATTGTGTGGGCATTAGTGGGTGTTACTTGGCCTTGTTGGGGCATT